GACTCTATCCTCTCTGCCTCAGTCCGGTCCGGACCCACGCACCGCATTTAGCTTCCTGTCTCTTCAGTCTCCTTTAATCTGGAGCAGTCCCTCGGTCTTCCCTTGTTACCTGACCTGCACACGTTTGCAGTGGGAAAGAGTAACTTGTGTTTCCCTGGAAGCCACTCCCGTGTGCAGGTGAGCTTTGGAAATTTTCACACCCCCCCCCCAGGCTAAGAGCTGAGGTGAGTGGCATCTTGATCAATTGTCCTAATAGTCCCTTCACCCAAAAGACAGTTGGATTTGGTAAATTCTCACCAGGAAGGTTGCCTGGGCTTAGCCTAGTCCATTCCCAGGAGATGAGAGCTGTTTTCAGTGGTTTCAGAAACCAAACCAAGGGTGGAGACTATGGTTATGACAACTGTGGAAGAGGAAATTATGGAAGTGGAAATCGTAATGACCTGGGAAATGATAACCAGCAACCTTCCGACTACGGCCCAACAGAGAGTGGAAATTTTAGTGGTTGCAGGAACATGGGGGGACCCCGTGGTGGAGGAAACTATGGTCCTGGAGGAAGTGGAGGGAGAAGCTTCTTCCTGTTTGCCACGGGCTTCACTGTACAAACGGGAGAGGCCAAGAGGCCAGAGGTGACAGAACACCTTCGGTTACTGAATAACACAGTTAAGGAAACTCTTATCTCAGCCGTGTGTATGTTCGCAGGGATGCGGCAGCAGATACCGGAGCAGAGGCAGAGAGCCGATTTGCGTGTGGGCTGGGTTATTTAATAATGTCACCTTGCTGTGGTGGAAGGACTGGAAAAGACAAAAAGGCCTTTGAGACAGTTTCTTAGCTTTTTACTTGTTTATTTCCAGTGGTCTTCATAGGAGTGTAGAAGCATTCCTTCTTCGATAATGTTGAATCTGTAAGTTCCAGGTGACATGGGAAACCCTTTTCTCAAAGTTTTGAAAAGCTGCTTTCCAGGATCGTGGTGTAATAAAGCATAACATTTTTCCTTTTAAAAATGTTAAGTGCCTGTGTAGAGTTAAGAAGCTATTGAACATGCATGATTTCATAAAATGATTCTAAAGGAAATTAAAAAGAAAGAAGCCCCAACCACAATGGCTTACAAAGCACTGCCCCCCACCCTGCAACCCACCTAACCAGGAGTCCTAAGTAGGAAGCCTGGGGTCCCAGAAACCAGATTCCTACCCTCTGTTCTCCCGTCATCTGTCGTGAATGGCTTACTTCTCCACGGTCACAAAATGTCTGTTGCATGGAGAAGCACGCTACACTCCAGTCAGGAAGGACAAAGAACAAGAGGTGCATGTCTGTTGAGTTTGCTACTTTTGATTTTAATCAGGAAACCAATCACTTTCCTAAAAGTCCTACCCATTAGATTTCTGGTCACATCTCATTGAGCAGAACTGTGTCAGAATCCCAGCTACAAAGGAGCCTGGAAAGGGGAGTCCTTTAACTGAGCACACTGCCACCCTGAACAGAATCGGGGAAGGACCAAGGGGAGGCTGCGTATGGGTCAGGGAAGCGGCATGGTCTGCCCCTGGATCTACCGAGCTTGAGACGCTTTTTCAAAGTCTTCGTATCTGGTTCTCTGCCATTAATTATATATGCTTTTTATTTTGGTTGCTTTGCAATATTTCTGTTTGATAATGGAGAAACTGTAAACTCTCTGAGCCCCAGATGGGAAAAGACATGTTGCAACTGGATGTCCAACTGCATTGGACTCAACATTTCAGGTAAAAAAGGAAAGTAGGTTGTCCTGTGTCTATGGAGCTGGACCGCGACACAATCTCTCTTTGACTTCACTGCTTAGGGAGGTGGGGGCAGGGTGTCGTGGCTTCTTTGCTGCTAATATTTGATTTTGTACCTCACAGGCAGAGGGTTGAGTTCATCCGAGTTTATGGTACGTTATCACCACTGGTCTGCTGACTAGTCTCTCCCTCTAATTTCTCTCTCACTAATCTGCATTCCTTGAAAACCAACAAAAAACTCTCCATTCCCTACTCTTTTTCCCCTCCTGCTATCAGCAACTCTTGTGACGTGTTTGACGTCCAATTTTGGCTTTTTGGTAAATGTTCTTGCATAGTGTGTGCGGTGGATATATCCTTGTGATTTATAGAAGTGGTATGGGGTTACTTGTGCCAGTCTGTTCCTTGCTTTTCTCACGCAGCGTTGTGCTTTTAGGGCTCATCCAGGCTGCTTCGCGCACAGCTACCCCAGTGCTTCTGATGGCTACACGATGCCTCGAAGTGCACCTTCACCACTGTAACCCAACACTGTTATGGGCTGAACTGTGTTCCCCCCAAATTCGTATGTTGAAGTCCCAACCCCAGCACCTCAGAATGTAACTGTATTTGGAGATAGAACTTTAAAGAAGTGATTAAGGTTAGATGAGTTCCTATGAGTGGGTTCATACCCATGGGATTGTATTTTTGGGGGACAGGCCCTTGAAAGAGATAATTCACTTCAACTGAGATGGTTAAGTGGGTCCCTAGTCCCACATGACTGATGTTCTTAAAGGAGAGTGAGAGAAAGAGGGACACCAGGGATGTGCTTGCACAGAGAAATGTCTGTGTGAAGACAAAGAAGGAAGGAGGCCATCAGCAAGCCAAGGAGTGAGGGCTCAGCAGAACCCAAACCTGCCAGCACTTTGATCTTGGACTTCCAGCCCTCCATAACCATGGGGAAATCAATTTCGGTTGTGTAAGCCACTCAACCTCTGGTGTGTGTCACGGCAGCCCTAGCAATGCAATATATACTCTCTCAGAGACACCAGATTTCTTTCAACAATTTTGTTGAAAGCTTTCAAAGCTAACAAACCTTTTCTGTGAGGTTGGTAATACTGTACAGCTAATATTTAAAGATCATTAACCTTATCTTCAAGAGCAAACTGAGAAGTCTTTTTTCTAGAGTTCTGAATCTTCCACTTGGTGCCTTGTTCACTGAAAGCCTGACAGAGCAAAAAGCAATCCTATTCCCAAGGACACATGATTGGTTTAGGGAAGCTTGTCAGTCGTTCATTGGCCAGAGGTGGGTTTAGAGACAGTACAAACAAGGGGAGGTAGGAGAGTTTTGCTAGGAATTTGGGGACATGGGTAGTTTTCTGTCTTGTAGGTCACAGAGTTCCTGTAGTCATTCTGTCACCATGAGAAAGCAAGTTTTGGGATTATGGTGATGTCATGCAAAGCAGTGTGTCAGCATGAAATGTAGTAGGTCGCCATTCACACCAAGCCTGAAGCCCATCCTAGGTCTGGGCTTGTCAGTCACATGAGCCAATAACCCTGCCTCATTTTTTAACCCCATGTGAGCATTGTGTAACTTGTATCTTAAGTTAAAAAAGTATCTTAAATGATACAGGTGGGTGCAGAGGCACAGATATAAATGTCAGATCTGAGTTCACGGTCTCAGCAAGGATGGAGGGCATGAGTTCATCTGCACCTGTCAGACCAGCAAACTGAGTGTGACAACAACCTCGGTCCTGGTGTCTTCCTGACGTTGTCCGTCCACAGGGAACAGGGTCCTACAGTGATGGCAGCAATGCGAGTGGCTGCAACATTCTGGGAAAGTCACCTGACAATATGTCAGGGTTCACCTTGCAAAACTGCGTTTGCTTTAGGGCAAAGTGGTTGAATGTCAACCCTTTTATAGGATTCTACCTAATTCATTGGAAACATACATTCTTGGACCTAACAGTCTCACTTTGAGGAATCCAGCGTATAAGAATAAAAGCGTTAGAGTGCAAAGTGCTTCTAACAGGAACACTTGTCACAATCCTGTTGGTAATGGCAAAGCAAAACAAGACTAGAAACAGCCTCAACTTTGGGGAATAAGTGATCCCACACTCAAATTATGGAATATTACCCATGAACTTGGTAAGGAACAAGTTATAGCTGTGTCTGTTTACCTGGAGAGATGTCTGTGATGTTAAATCAGAAAAGGGAAAGGCTCAGAGTACCATCTTTAGAAAGATGCCCTTTTGTAAAGTTGGGTAAACGACCTTCCACATGTATGTGAATGGTTACAGAGAAGGGACCGAAAGAGTAAACACTGCCATGGTGACACTGGTTACCTTACAGAGAGGGAAATGGAGGAAATTCAGGGGAAGTTTTTATGTTCTTGTGCCATTAAGGGGCACATATGAGATCATGGCCACTTAATTTGGAGGTTCGAATTCACAGACAATAAAAACCCCGAGTGAAAGGTGGGTAGCCAAGCACTTAATTAAGTGAGAGCAAACCGAGAGCAAGAATCACGATCACCAGACGGGAGTTCACCGATTCTGGTGTTCCCCGAAACAAGGATTGTCAGTGGGAGCTAGCGTTCATTGAGCTTACTACCTGCCTGTGCTAGAGTAAGCACTTGATGTTCATTAAAAAGACGTGCAGTTTTCACAAAGCGCTATTCATACCCCCATCTTGCAGATGGGTGAACTCAGGCGGGACCAACGAAGTTAAGTAACTTGGTCAAAGCTGCACCACTGGGGAGTGGTTGTAGCTGGCTTCCAATCAGAGCAGTCGAAAAAAAAAATCGGGGGCTTCACATTGCGCACACCCCCTCCCTTAGGACTGATCTGGGGGTCTGGGAGAGATCCAGTCAAGGGCAGGGTGTGGCAGGGCTGGGGTGGGGTGGGGGCCCCAGTGGCAGGAGCATTCACTCCCACCTGGGAGAGTCTGTGAAGGACTCATCCAGGAGGTGACCCTCGAATTGGCTCAACAAAGGTGTGTTCATCAGGCAGAGTAGGGACCAGAGGGCAAGGGACCAGTACGCATGCCCTGGGGTGGACGGGTGGGTGCCTGCCTGTCTAGCTGCCGGGGGACGGAGGAGGTGGGGGGCGGTTGGCCCAGAGCCAGCCTTGGGCGATACTCTGGGACCCTGCTTTCGCATCTCCCCACGCATCATCGTTCTGCTGGGTCCGCAGTTAGGACACTGGTGCAGATCCAATACCACCCGGGCACGGCTCCAACTGGCGGCGCGCGCGCGCACGCACACACACTCGTAGCTCTGCTCTGGGAGAAGCCCCACCCTCTCCGGCACCAAACATAAATCCCGGCCCCGGGAGCTCCGCTGCGCTGTCTCCACCACCCTCTCCAGGCATTGGAACCCGTGGACGGCTGTAAGTAAAGCGCCCCACCCCGGCCCCACTTCTTCCTCCTGCTGAGCTGCTAAACGCCTTTTGCGGGGTGTTCGAGCGTTGCTCTCGCTCTCCTTTGGCTGAATAACCTCCAGGACGTGCGCTCGGAGGACACCAAGCCGAAGTTCCTAAGCCGCTGGACCCTGAAACTTCTTGGAGAGCCCGGGAACTGGTGCTGGAGGCGGGAGCGTGGCCTGGCCGGAATTTCGCAGCTCGGCTCAGCTGCCTGCGCCGGGAAGGGGGACTGGCCGAGGCGCTGGCGGGACTGCAGAACTGGGACCAGCGTGGAAGGAGGACTGGGGCTGGGGCTCGCTAGTGCGCACGGGGGTGCGCGGGCCCAGGGGCGGCAGCCTGGGGCGAGAGTGCGGGCCAGGTGCACGGGTGGGGCGGGACGCTCCCTGCACCGTGCCCACCCTGGCGGGCAGGCCCTTTCCTAGAGGATCCTTGGACTGTGGCGAATTCAGAATTCTCAGCGGCTTCCATTTTGGGAAAAGAAACCCGAAGGAGGAGCGGGGCTGGGGACCGGGCCGCTGCAACTGCAATGCAGAAGTGTTCCGTCCAGGCCACTAAAGCTCCCCACTAGTGCTAGGGGCAGAGTGGAACCGCAGCGGCTGTGGCCTCACTGGCGGGGAAGGCGCGGTTCCAGTGATGCTGGGCCAGGCGGAGCCTCCTCGAGGACCTCCTCCCGGTTTCGGCCCCTTCGGAGCCTAAGAAAACTCCTCCCTGAAAATGGGCTGGAGCAGCAGCGCCACTCAGTGGTGTTCAGTTGTTCTGAGACTGTCTTAGAACCTGTGGCGCTATCCCAGAGATGTTTTAGCCGGTGCGGTGTGCCACCAGAAGTTTTAAAACATACAATACCTGACTGTTTAGCCAAGTGAATAGTGACCTCTCTTCCCGTAGATTGTCAAATTAAACAAATGGCAATAAGCAACACAGCAGTAGCCACCCGGTGTGACTGTATTTGCTGTGTATAATATGCACTTGCATTTTTAGCCCAGACTTTAAGGGGGAAAATCATTCATTTTAATTTTTTAATTCACTTATTTATATTTAGAAACAAAGTTGATTATCGTATTTCAGGGTATTATTTTGCATATGGATATCATTGCTTTCTAGAATTACACTTAAAAAAAGATTTTATTTATTTTTAGGCAGAAGGGAAGGGTGGGAGAGAGTGAGAGAAACATTAATATGTGGTTGGCTTTTGTGCGCCCCCTACTGGGGACCTGGCCAGCAACCCAGGCCTGTGCCCTGACTGGGAATCGAAGCAGACTCTTTGGTTTGCAGACCAGCACTCAATACACGGAGACATACCAACCAGTGCTCTAGAGTTACGCTTTTAAAGCATAAGCATAAATGAAAGAATTAAACACATTTATATAGATACAGAATTAGTACTACCCATGCCTAATGCACATCCTTATTTTTCCCCTCAAAAATTTCTGCAAAAAACATTGTGCATTACACATGGCAAAATACAGTATACCTTTTTTGTCAAATCAGCAAAAACGTAGTTTCTGGAATATGCCATATTTTCTAGTGTACCTCAAAAATTGAGTAATTAGTTCATGTGTGCCATGAGATGAAAAAGGTTGAAAATCACTGCTCTATATCCATTTGAAAGATGCGCATAGATTTCCAACTGGTTCTTTGTGTTTGACACTGTTTCTGAGGCTTCACTTGCTGTGCAATGAGAAATGGAGCAGCTGCACACCGGGTAGCTGTTCATACCCTAGCCCTGGCTGGGAAGAATTTCTGTGTGGGTTTACATTTTCCTGGCCTTGAAGATTTCCAAGCCTATCTCTGTTTTCTCTCCTGTACACTGTATGCTGGCAATGGTAATAATGCTTATCATATAGGGAGGTTTATGAGGATAAAATGCAATGATGCCCATGCAGTACTTAGCATAGCAACAAAAACAGTGACTACTAAACAAATGTCACTGATGCTAAATGGTAATAATGAGAAGCAGATGGTGAGTAGACCTGGCTGTCTGGCCTCAGTGCCATGGCTAAGGGAGCCATAATAATCCAGTCACTTCGTGACGTTTGACTACACGTTTGCTATGTTCTAGGAGCGTCAGAATGGTTCGTGCTAAGAGTTGGACCTTGAAGAAGCATTTTGAAGGCTACCCTACAAATGGTAACTTTGAGATGAAGACAGTTGAACTCCCACCCTTAAAAAATGGAGGTAAGACATAATCATATGATTTGAGTTGAAAGAGCTGGTTGTATCAGCCAGCCTTTGCTGCATGTCAAACTACCCCAAAGCTTAGTGACTTTGAACAACAGTCATTTATTGGTAAACAGTTCTGTGGCCTCAGTTCATACTTTATTTCTCCTCTGTCGTGGCCTTATCAGCAGACCAGTTTGAGCTCCTTATATTCACAGTGGTCCCCTGACTCCGGAGAAGCAACTCAAATTGCCAAACTCCAATGTGCAAGTGCTTTTCAAACCTCTACCTGGGTCATGTTCCCTAGCAAACTTATCAAAGCCAGTCACATAGCCCAGCCCAGACATAGGAAAGGGTAGACTTCTTGTTGGAAAGAACCACACAGAAATGGGAGGTTTTCGTGGCCATGTTGCAAAAGGCCATGGAGACTTTTTAAAAGTTCTCCGTGTGAAACCTTGAGTTCATGTTGGAGGATCCCTCTTCTTTCTTGGTCATTGAAACTCATGCTTGGGTGCATTCGTCTGCGTGACTTTGACCTGACTGTGGGAGGATTTCCTCTCCACCCTGGTGAGTCCGATGAGGGCAGTGGGGTACAGACAGACAGTCTATGAGCAGAGTTCAGACTCTCTCTGTGAGGAGACAAGGAGGGAAAAGCCCTCACCCTTCACTGAGGGGCCTTCTGTCTACTTGGGGGAAGGGCCTGTTCAAGTCAGATGTAAAGAAATCTGAGGGAGAGAAATGGCAACATACATCATAACGTGTTTGAAATGAGCTTTGTAGAGCAGACTCCAAGGAGTGTCTGGAAGGGGTGTTTACAAGGAGGTTAGCTTTGCAAAAAGGACATGCAATCAAGTAGCATGGCGAAGTTATCGATCCAGCTGAAGTGGGGTAGCCGGGACTGAGCTGCGAAATTCCAGAGAATGTGCACAGAAGGTCCAGCCACACGCGTAGTCTTTAGCAGTAACTGGAACTGGTCATGGAACCCTCTGTGAGCACTGTAACAGAGTGGTTATAAACACGGCCCTGGGCAAGTTACTGAACCTAAGCTTAAATAAAATGAAAACAATAATTGTTGAAAATATCAGGTGAAATAGTCCATGAAAAGCTTGGAGTGCTGAGTAAAGATGATGACGATGATGATGATGATCATCGTCATCATCTTGCCTCTTCAACAGAAGGCACAGAGGAGAAGGCAGCCCTGAGGCCGAAAGATCACGTGTGTTTATTTAGAACGTCAGGCCTGAGTCTCTAATTGGTTGTGGAACGCTTTCTCTTTGTAGAGATCCTGCTGGAAGCTCTGTTCCTCACTGTGGATCCTTATATGAGGTATTATTTCCCCCCTAAAAATTCTCATATTGTGTGTTAGACCCTCTTTTAAAGTAGTTCATCTTTGAAAATATCCAACTGATTCAAAACAGTCATTTCCGCCTGATTCCCCCAGCACAGTGTCCGTGGTGGGATTTGCGGGTGCTCGCCTTTTTCAGGCCAAGTTCAGAGAAGCCTGGTGAGGGGTTACCCTGGCCCCTTCATTTTACCAATCGGCTATCTCAGTGTCCACAATTTGCCTCTCATTGCTCACCAGAATTGCTTCCAGAAAAATTAGAAGAAAAAAGAACCCGATCTCCAAGGTGCCCACCTCACTACTGGCAAATAACTTGAGTAGAGGAAGATGAAGTTTGATTTTCTTGCCTCCTGTCTCCCTGTATTGTTTTAATCTGGGTGATCTGCAGCTGACTCAGACTGTGTACTCAGTAAACACTCCGGGAGGGGAGAGAATAAGAGCCTTTGTGGGCCACAAACTCCTCAGCAATTTTTTGCCCAGGTAATTTTGCTGTGTACAATGCACACCCATGTTTTACTACTACCCATGTATAATATGCATCCTTATTTTTCCCTCAAAAAATTTGGGCAAAAAAGTGCAAATTATACACAGCAAAATACAGTAATATAGTCATCTTTCCTTTAAGTAACTTTTTAAAAAAATAACTGACTGACAGTGAGAGCTTCGACACCCCCTGAATGCCTACAATTGAACTGACTTCTGACACTGCCTACCTGGAGACCGTGGTCGAGCCCACAGACTAAAGACTCAGTGCCACGGGAGGGTTCACCAGGCTGTAGGAACCAGCTGCAAGTTTGGGTTGTTCCCTGTGCTTCCGACCAACCGCTACAGGCAGAGGTTCTAAACCACAACCTCCCTGGGTTCGATTAATTGGCTAGAGCAGCTCAGAACTCTGGAAACCAGTTTATCCACAGAGTCGCTGGTTTGTTATGAAAGAACATAACTCAGGGACTCACTCAGGGACAGCCGGAGGAAAGAGATGCGTACAGCATGGTATGGGGACAAGGCTCAGAGCTTTTCAGGGGCACTGCATTGCCCACGAATCCGTGTGCTCACCAGCGCAGACGTCTTGGAACACGTCCTTATGGAGGATTTTTTTTTTTTATGGAGGCCTCATTACACAGACAGTTGATTAAATTATTGGCCGTTAGTTACTGACTCAACCCTCAGCTCCTCCTCCCATTCAGGTAGAGGGTGTGGGTGGGAGGAAAAGCTCTAACCCTCAGTCCTGATTCTCTGGTGGATCGTCTTTCCCACCATCACCTCATTCACGTAACAGAAGACCTTGAAGGCTCCCACCACTTAGGAAATTCCAAGAGTTTTAGGAGCTCTGTGCCAGCAAGAAGGGCACAGATGAAATAATAGATTTTTATTATAAATCACAGCATCACAGCTAGTGTTTGGGATAGCATGTACCCAGTGGTACCTGAGTTCCCGTATGTTTTTTAAGCCATTGGTAGAAACTCACCCACCGTGGAGCATTATGGTAAGAATCTCATGTTCAGTTCATGGAAGAATATCACCAGAATGCTCCCTTGGGGCCCCAGCCCTGACCTACCCGTCACACTTTCCTCCCACATTTCACCCACCTGGGCTGCGCTCATGCATCTGAGTTCCCTTTCCGCACACACTTCCCCAGTGGTTAAACATTTGACTTGAAACTCAGGACCCTGTTTCCCAGATGCTCTTATTTATTAAGCATGAAATTTTTTTTTCCAGAGTGGCGGCCAAAAGACTGAAGGAGGGTGATACAATGATGGGGGAGCAAGTGGCCAGGTAGCTATTTCCATGTGTCCCAGTGTTTGGAAAATATGTCTCCCCTTTACCTTCTGCCGGACCCTGTCTCTGTCCATCACTTTCACAATTCTTTCAGCATTTGTAGTCCACTCATTGTCGGAACTTTGAAGCAACTTGGGAATTCTGCCCTTTTCCTGACTGGGAAGGGAGGAAGGGTTGTGAAATTGTCATCATTTCAACTTCATTTTTCTATCCTTACTTTTAATTATTAAAAAAAAAGTATTTGTCCAGTTCATAATTATTTTTTTTTGTAAAAAAATCAAGTAAAACAAAAAATTTGTATCTTGGAAACTGGAAGTTTCCATATCATCTCAACCTTAGAGATGACTGTTATTAATGTATTATTATTTCAAAAAAATTTCAGTACACAGTAACATTTATAATTTTTTAAAATGGGATTAAAAGCTCTTCAGCAAATTGCTTTTTCTCAATATGTTATGGATATCCTTTGTTGGTAGTATATAATTATACTACCTATCTTCTTTAAAAAAATTATTTATTTATTTTTAGAGAGGGGAAGGGAGGAATAAAGAGAGAGAGAGAGAAATATCAATGTGTGGTTGCCTCTTGAGTACCCCTTACTGGGGACCTGGCCTGCAACCAAGGCATGTGTCCTGACTGGGAATCGAACCAGGGACACTTTGGTTTGCAGGCCAGCATCCACTGAGCCACACCAGCCAGGGCACTTCCGGTCTTCTAATGGCTACAAGTTATGCCATCGTTATCTGCCATTTAACTAATCCACTACTGATACCTGTTTCCAATTTTCTTTTCTACAAATAGTTCTGCAAGGAACAGGTATGCACTTATATGTGCCTATCTGTATATTCTTTGACCACATGGATGAATATTGTTTTACATTAAATTTCCAGAAATATAAATTCTAGGTCAAAGGAGATGAACGAGTTGGTGATAAATTGGTCTGAAGAGTTGGTGATAAATTGGTCTTTGAAGTGATTGTGTGAGTTTCTACTCCCAGGAATAACATGTTGAAGATGCTGTGTTCCACACACTTATATCCCCACTGGTCGCCATTGACTTTGGCAGTGTGAGAAGACTATGTCGATACTTCATGCTCAGTTTAATTTGCATTTCTTTCATGATTAGCGATGTTGACATTCTTTTTGTAAATTAAGAATCAGTTTCGCCTGTGAATCATCTGTTTATGTCCTTTGCCCTTTTCCTTTAGGTCTTTTCATTTTTTTATATTGATTTGTAAAAGCCTCTCATCTGTTAGGAATATTACTTTTGCAAATAGTTGGGTCTTTGTTTATCTTTTTCCTGTGTCCAATCATAGTCGGAACATTTTATGAGAGTACATTACTAATATTTGTAATTATGACTTCTTGGTTTCATTGCATGATGATAAAGGTATTTTCCCCTCCAAAATGGCTAAAATATTTATTTTCTTCTAGTATTTTTATTTATATTTTTCACGTTTTATTTTTTTATTTTTATTTTTTTTAAAGATTTTGTTTATTTATCTTTAGAGGGGAAGGGACAGAGAGAGGGAGAGAAACATCAATGTACGGTTGCCTTTCATGCATCCCCTGCTGGGAACTGGCCTGCAGGGAACCAGCCTGCAACCCAGACATGTGCCCTGACTGGGAATCGAACCGCGATTGTCTGGTTCACAGGCCCGCGCTCAATCCACTGAGCTACACCAGCCAGGGCCATTTTTCACGTTTTAAATTTTCATTTTTCACATTTAAATCTTGGAGTCATTTTATTTTTATTTTGGAATAAGGACTGAAGTGTTTACTTGATGTCCAAATGACTAGTCAGTTATACCCTTTATTGAAATCTTACCTGGATTTTTATTGCAACATCAATGACTTTATAGATTCATTTAGAGAAAAATGCTATCTCTACAGTATTTCCAAATATAAATTATAGCTCTCCTTTTATCTGCTTTTGTGCGATGGCCTATCTAACAGTTTTCTTCCTACAGGTCTTACACATTTCTTGCTAATAATCAGAGAAATGAACATGTATTCGCATTTGTTGAATTGGCAAAGTTTTTTTCCCTAAAACCCAATAACAGAAATGTTGTGATAACCCTCTCATACATTGCATGTAGAAGCAAAAGGTGGCGTAACCTTCTAGAAAGGAATATACAGCAACAGTTACAAATGTTTTAACACTCTTTAACCTCGTCATTTCATTTAGAGAAATCCTGCCTAAGAAAATAATACATTCTTTTTTATGAATATAAATTGAAGTGTGATTTACATTAGGAAAAATACTGGAAGTAGTATAAATATCTAATAATGGAGAAATAATTAATTCATTATAGTTTTTGAAGGATCTTACTAATGTGAGAAAAAGTGCAACTTATATAGACTAGTACAATGTTGAGAAAGAAAAACTAGGTCACAAAACGTAACATTACTTCCATTATGTAAATAAATGTACACACATTTAAAAATAAATTCTTAAGATTGCCCCCAAATACACCAAAATATTACAAGTTATCTTTATTTCATAGGACTAGAGCTAATATTTTTATTTTATATGTTTTAAATTTTCTAAAATAGATGTATATTATATATTAATACATTTATGATCTGGGTGGGGGGAAATAGTAAAAAAATGGTAAGAATGGGAGACAGTGGAAGAAAGGGGATAAGCAAATGAGACCAAAAAAGGAGCAGCTTAGAGGGAGAGGTAAAAACCAGTGGCGAAGAGGTTGGGTGACCCAGGGTGTTGGATACAATAGAAAGTTGAACTCGGATAATGAATGAAGAGTGTCCACTGGATTTTGCTATCAGGGGTAGTTATGACCTTAGTGGAGTAGTAGGGGTGTTACACTGGAGATCAGGAGGGAGGAAACGGGATTGTCAAATGGGGGAGTTGAGCACACTTACATACTAAGGGAAAGGAACAGTAGAGAGGAAGACGTTAGTGATTCAGAAGGGAGGGAGGGGTAAGGAATGGAGGGTGAGCCCTGAAGAACATAAGCAATTGGTGCCCAGGGCGCATTGAGACAGAGGACGGACGCCACTTTCTTACAGAGAGAAGTGGATTAGGACAGTGACGGATGCTGGACCAGCTGAGGGAGTTCCTCTCTGATGGCCCATATATTTTCTTTGGAAGAAGGAGAGACCAGTGGCTGAGAGTTGAGAGGGGGAGATGTGGGTGGGGTATTCATTCCTGGACTGTAACTCGGTGCTCCTTGTGTGTGCGAACCACACAGCATTCCCACTCTGCAGAGGCAAGAGGTTCCACGCGTCTCCATGTGCTTTATCTTTCAGAGTTGTGGAAAGTAAAAACTCAGCCTTCCCAACAGGAGCCATTGTTTCCGCCCCTTCGGGCTGGACAACACACTCCATTTCTGATGGAAAACAACTGGAGATGTTGCCTGCGGAGTGGCCGGACACGTTACCTCTGTCTTTGAGGTTGGGGACAGTTGGCATGACAGGGTGAGTTTGGTGGGTATATGTCATTTGTTTGAATGCCTGACACTCTGCATTTCCAAAATGGTTTGTCCAAAACTTGGTCAGTACGAGGAGACAAGACATTCTGCCCTGACTGATGTAGCTCAGTGGATTGAGTGCCAGCCTGTGAACCAGAGGGTTGCTGGTTTGATTCCCAGTCAGGGCACATGCCTGGGTTGCTGGGCAGGTCCCCAGATGGGAGCGTGTGAGAGGCAACCACGCATTGAAGCTTTTCTTCCTCTCTTTCTTTCCCCCTTCCCCTCTCTCTAAAAATAAATAAATAAACCTTTAAAAAAGACATTCTGTGTTCAGGGGCTGGTCAGAGAAGATGGTGGGTGTAAGAGGGGAGGAAGGGCTAGGCTCGAGTTGGCCTCAGGATGGAGGGAAAGAGAGAGAAAATCAGACCAGAGACACTCAGGCACAAGGAGGAAGGAGCGAGAAGCAACGTGGGGCATGATCCCGACCCCCTCAAGTGGCTGCAAACGGTCACTCAAAGGCACCACGTCCTTCTGTCCCCGGGACAGTCTCATCTTCACTTGCCACTCCTCTCTGCCTCCGTTTCATAAGTTGAAAAGGGAAAGAGTTCAATCTACCTTGACTTTTCAGTATCTGTATTTTTTAAAAGACTATTCATTTATTTTAGACAGAGGGGAGGGGAGGGAGAAAGAGAGGGAGAGAAACATCAATGTGTGGTTCCCTCTCACAGGCCCCCAACTAGGGACCCAGCCTGCAACCCAGGCATGTGCTCTGACTGGGAATTGAACCAGCGACCCTTTGGTTTGTGCAGGCCAGGGCTCAATCCACTGAGCCACACCAGCCAGGGCAGTATCTTCCTCCCCCTTCCCTATACACTGTATTCTTCCTCCCCTTTCCCTATACACTTCTGAGTTTCTTGGGGGGCAAGCGGACTTGAACTTTAATTACCGTATTTTGCTGTGTATATTGTGCACCCACAGTTTAGTGCTACCTGTGTATAATGCACATCCTTCATGCTATCCATGTATATATACTTCATGTCATTATTTTTCCCTGAAAAATTTGGGCAAAAAAGTGCACATTATACACAACAAAATATGGTAACTGAGATGAATTGTAAGTATGGGTTGCTCAGTCTCTCAACTTGGCACAGATTTAAAATACTCAGGTGTCTCTGGGCCTCAGGAAGTTCTTCCTGCCCCTCAGGAAGGCTCCTTGTCAGTTCGCCCTGTGTCTACTCCAAAGCTGCACTCTGGACCTCATGTTTCCTTTTGTTGCCTGGGGAAAGCAAGGCCAATTGAATTCCTGTCTCTTGGCGTCCCCAAAACTTTTCTAGTGCAGAATTCATTTATTTCCATTCTTTCACTATGCTGTGTGGTCTTTCCCCTCCCTCCCTTCCTTTTTCCTGCCTGCCCTCCCTCTTTCTTTTTCATACTCTAAAGGACCTTTAAAAAATGAAGTGGAAATATATGCCCTCATGATCGGCCTCTAACAAAAACCGCTCTATATACCCCAAGACTGTATTCCACTCAGTGTGAATGAACTGTTCAGAGTTGTCACGGCGCACAGACAGCATTGGGACACTAGAGGATGCTTCACATCATGTTACATTTAGTGGGCATGGGACAGAGCTACAGCCCTTCCTGGTCGTCCCTGCCTGCCCTGCCCCCTCCTCGGTGAGAGCTCTTCCTCCCACCTTTACCCCACCCGTCGTTCTCCCGAAATTGTGAGACACCAGTGTCGGAGGAGCACAGGGGCTAAGGTAGGCATGAGGACATCTAAGAGAAAGCCTCTTGTGACTGAGTTGGGGAGAAAGTAATTTGAAACCACTGGGAGATCTAGACTCCTACAACGGAGGATAATTTATTCCTTTGTGTATGTTTCTCACCTGTTCCAATCCCCTAAGAAGTGCATTTCTACTCCAATGGACTTTCTCCCAGCTGTTCTCAGGGGTGGACAGAAAGGAGTGATGGCAAGCCTGTCTGTAGCCTCCTCTCGTGACATGACCACCTGTTCTTTGAGAATTCCTGCCATTATGAGCTACTTGTCAATGGGAGAGCTCAACCCTTTAAGAATGTTGGCACTTCTGCCATGGACTATAAAGGAAGTTCAGCTTTGAAACCTAGGGGTGTCTTTCAGTTATTCAAGCTCTGCAGATTTAACATCCCCCCAAAGCATCACATTATTGCCTTGAGAGTGCTCGACTCTCAAGGACCCTCAGGTACGGTCAGTGGCTGAGGAAGCTGAGGTTGCGCCAACGTGCAGGGTCTGTTTACGTAGAAATAACGTTACGTGACTTTGTCTGAAATTTCGAAAGTGGCTTAATGGTCACCATAATGGGTATGGATTTCACTGGCTCAGACTCAGGGTTGCGCATAAAACCTAAAATCTTTCTATCACACGGGATCTCTATTTCAAGCCCTCATTTTGGCCAGTGTAGTAAAATAAAAACTCAGTTCAAGTCAGTGATTTCTCACATCATTTCAGGTTTCAAGCTCAGAATTTCCTTTCTCTTCTCCCTAGGGGCGACGCAAGCTCTGAGAGCTAATGCAAGCTCAGGGTAGGTAGAAAGGGGACAACAACTTCTTGAACTTGATCTGTCTTAGTTTTAGTTTGGTCTCCCGCTGCAGGTGTAACTTGTCCCATTGTGTCTTGGGCTATGCCTTCTTCCGAGCTGGCATTCCACCCGGTCTCTCCACCTGGTCCCCTCGCCTGTTCCCCATCAGTACTGTGTGAGCTGTAGCTTTGCGGGCCTAGTGATGATGCTTTCCCCGTGAGCTAACTGCGACATCCCATCATGGTGAGGAGAGGAAGTTTCAGGAGTTTTTCCGTACTGCTCTGGAGCCACAGGAAGCTCGAGGTGTTTCTCTCCGACCCTCTGTGGCGATGCAGGATGACACAGGGGCTTTTCCCATGAAGCCTGTCAGTCCCTAGGGCTTCCATGGAATGAGGCACAAGCTCTCTGTTCTGGTCTGCCCAGAGTTCAAGGGAGACCTGTCTTCTTTTACACTTGACCTGGTGATAGATAGATAGGATGCAGCCCCCTTCCAGCCACTTCCCGCCGCAGCGCCATCATCTTTATTTCTGTTTGCGGGAGGGAAGAGAGAAGGAGGAGGTGGACCATTAGCAACTGGTAATGTTTATTTCCTCTTGTTTTCTTTTACCTGGATCTGTGGCAGTGGGCTGCTGAGAAGGTGTTTGGGCGTATCTGAATGAGTTATAGGGCAAAGCAACATAATCATCCCTAATTTTCTTTCCTCAGCCTGACAGCCTACTTTGGCCTGCTCGACATCTGCGGAGCGAAGGCCGGAGACACGGTTCTGGTGAATGCCGCCGCAGGGGCCGTGGGCTCGGTTGTGGGGCAGATAGCTAAGCTCAAGGTAAGTGCCCTTCCCCGGGAGCAAACGTTTACTCTGCAGCCCCTGCGAGCACTGGAAACACAACAGCGGACACAGCAGACTCCCACAGTCTCGGAGTTCAGCCTCATGGCTCTTGTTCAGAAATCGAAGGTTGAGAATGATTGAGAAATGGAGGGAGTGAGGAAAAGGGTGGAGCCAAGAAGACCTGAGCATTACTTTCAGCATTGCGGCTATCAGATCATAAATGGCTTCTGTCTAGCATAGCGAGTTTGTAAGCAGTAACTACTTTCGTAGTTTTTACCAAGCATTTTTTGCTATAGCTTTATCTCCTCTCTTCATTATTTCCCTCAACAACAGAGGAAGGGGCTTGAGATCAGCCAACCGAGTCATCACCCACATGGTCCCATTGCAAAGGCTACCGCAGTCAGCCCAGAATGGTGGGGCCGTGGCTTGGGAACTCCCTCCTGGGAGGTACCAACTGGCTATGATTTGGGCAGGTGTCTGTGTGCAAGAGATCTGATGTGAGGCTGGGGGTACAGGCAGCAGGTGGCTCAGACACGGTCAGGATGTGTGCCACGGTGGGAGTGTTCCAAGGTGATCTGGCTTTAGCTGGTCCTTGGCCAGAGGCCGGGATGCAGAATTCAGGACCTAGCTCCTAGGGAAAGAGTTAGTTGGAATACCGACAAATACAGGACTACAGCCAATAGCCGAGGATTCAGGCTGGTCTCCAGTGCTAATGGGAGCTTGGAATGCAAATAAAAGAGGAGGCTACCATGGAGGTTGCAGGAAGAATTTATTATAAGTAAGTAACTAAACAGGAATAGGTATTGCGTTTTAGCAAATGTCGTTTCAGCATGTACCAGGTAAACTTTGCAGGTAATGACAGGGGATCCTTAAAGGGGAGACATGATTGGTTCTGCATTTTAGAGAAGTCACTTGGCCTTGGTTCCCAGTTTGCAGGGACAAAGTATTAGAGATGAGGAGTCCAATTAGGAGACTCTGACAGTAATTCAGACAAAAATTGTGATGCACTGACAGAAGAGATTGGAGGTCAGGATGAGCTTTTAAGGATATTTGGTAAAAAAACAAACAAAAGTAACACCCAGTGACTGGATGTGGATAGAAAGGGAACCTCTCCCGTGACACATGTGTCTCGGGTTTGGAAACGGAGCGGCACCGTCACTAGTAGAGACTAGAGGAGCAGCGCACACAGACAGAGAAGGAAGAAGACATTCTGTTTCAGATGTGTTGAATATGGAGTCCCTCCAGGCTGTCCGTGGTGGGACGGTTATCGGAAGTACTGATGTGGAAGTCACTCAGAGAGACACAGGCTGGAGTTAATAGATGGGGAATCGTCCGCATGAAGGAGGCACTGAGGTCATAGGAGAAAACGAGATCGTCCTGTGAGTGTATAAGGCTAGAAGGCAAAAGCACAAAGGATGCAGCTTTTGTAAAAGAGTTTGTTGCTTGAGCCATGACGGAGTGGAGACAGTACACAGTGGCCATTGCTTGCGTGGATCCATGTAGAACCCCAAAGGTCTTTCCCTAACTGAAAGTGTGCAGTGGCTCACATTCTGGTCTTCATGGTACAGTCAGAATATAAGAGAGCTTTCTGAAGAGCTGCTTTCTATGTGCCAATATAATCTCTGGTCTCATTCTGAAGGTGCTTCTCAAAATGTTCTCCAGTTCCTCTGTGATTAAGCAGCATCAACTCCAGTGCTTTGGGCCAAATCAGACAATACACGGGCCATTACCAGGAGGGCTGTGTATGGAATGAGAGTCCCAGATCTGAGCCATAGTGATAGTCCAACAGACAACAACACCAAGAGATAGTATGGGAGTCAGTGCAAGGGGAGAGAAGCCCCAAAATAAACAAGAGGCAAGTGAACATGTTGTCAACGCAGCAGATCGAAATGAATTGCAAACCACATAAACATAGAAAGGGTGTGCTGGGCAGCTGGAGGCAGGCTGAAGTTATTCTTAGGGTGTAGGCTGGTTCAGGGACTAATTTCACTTATAGGGCCTTTTGGCCCATTGTGGTATCCCCCCGTACACGTGTGGCTCAGCTCCTCGGAGGGTGTTCTGGGGGGGCCAGACCATATTAGGCCAGGAGGGTGGAGTTGGTCTGTGCTTGTGACTTATACATGGTTTCCATTTTTTCCCCACTTAGGGCTGCAAAGTTATCGGAGCAGCAGGATCTGATGATAAGGTTGCCTACCTTAAAAAGCTTGGATTTGATGTTGCCTTTAATTATAAGACAATAGAGTCTCTGGAAGAAACTTTGAAAAAAGCTTCTCCTGATGGTTATGATTGTTATTTTGATAATGTAAGTATAAGTCAAACTTAAAGTATGATTTATTAACAAAGTAACTATGCAAAGAAATAAATATATTTCCAGAGTTTCCATCTAAAATCTATAAAGAGCTCTGACTGGTGTGGCTCAGTGGATTGAGTGCCAGGCTGTGAACCAAAAGGTTGCTGGTTCGATTCCCAGTCAGAGCACATGCCTGGGTTGTGGGCCAGGTTCCCAGTCGGGGCCACATGGAGAGCGACCACACATTGATGTTTCTCTCCCTCTCTTTCTACCTCCTTTCCCCTCTCTCTAAAAATAAATATATAAAACCATAAAAAATCTATACAGGAAGAACATATGCCTTTAAAAAAGCTTTATTGTGATAATGTCACCATTTAAAATATAGAACTCAGTAGTTTTTAGTATAGTCACAGAATTGCACAATTGTCACCACAGTACATTTTAGAGCATTTTCGTGATACTAAAAAGAAATGCTGTACTTACTAACATTCACTACCCACCTCCCCCAAGAGTGGTCTTTTGTGACCGGCTTCTTACGCTGAGCATGTTTTCCAGGTTCAACCATGTTGTAGCATGTATCAGTGATTCATTCCTTATTGTATGGCCAAATAATATTCCACTGTATTGATATCTCACCTTTTATTTATCCATTCATCAGTTGATGGGTATTTGAGTTACTTATGCTTTCTGGCTATTCTATAACGCTGCTATGAACACTCTTGTACAAGCTTTTGTTTTCATTTCTCTTGGGGATACACCCATGAGTGCACTTGGGTCATATGGTAACTTCATGGTTAACATTTTGAGGTGCTGCCACACAGTTAGCAAAAGGGCTGCACTATTTTACATTCTCATTAGCGACAGATGAGGGTTCCGGTATCCCTACATCTTCACCAACACTTGGGATCTATTGTTTTTGTTATGGCTATATCCTAATGGGTTTGATGTGATTGTTTCATTGTGATTTGCTTTGCATTTCTTTAATGGTTAATGATTTTGAGCATCTCTTAATATGCTTGTTGGCCATTTATATGTTTTCTTTGGAGAAGTATCTGTTCAAATCCCTTGCCCATTTTTCGATTGGGTTATTCATTGAGTTGTAAGGCTTCTTTATACATTCTGGATACAAGTTCTGTATCAGACACAATCAGTTCTTGGTATTCTTGGTAGTTATGTTCTATAAAGTCATTGAACCATTTATTGCTCTTAGAAAAAGAATATATATACACACATGTTACATAGGTTACACATCTTAAGTCCCCAAACAATTTTTCCGGTAGCTTCCTTTTTCTTTATTTTACAAAAGAGAGTATGAGGTTCAGTGAAATGTTAAGTGACTTGCCTGAGGCTGCCCCGTGAACTAACCCTTCCAAAGCTGGGCTTCATACTCCATCCAAATGGCTCCAGAGCCGGAACCTCTTGAACTAAAGGCACTGCCCCCTCTGTCCTCACCCCCTGGTAAACCTCCCTGAGAGAGCGGAAAACAGAAGGAGCCATGGCCTCCTCTGACCTTGGCTGGGAACTCTGCATCTCTACCTGCTCTGCACGTGTCTGCAGCTAACCCGGGGAAGCTCTGTGAGCATCGATGTGCAGGTTATATGTAAATTTTAGCAAGCAGTCCGACTCACGAATATGGAATCCACTAATAATGAGGATTCACTGTATGCAGTTTGCAGCTATTTTCTCCTTTTTGTAAGCTGCCTTTCACTCTCTTGATGGTGCCCTTTAAAGCACAGACATTTTCAATTTTGTTGGTCCAGTTTAATTTTTCTTTCATCACTTGGTCTTTTGCTGCTAAGGCAAGTAATGTGAAACGATGATTGTAAATGAGTAATTTTTTGAATATTCTAGTGTTTAGATTACTTAAGGGGTTGCTCTTTTTTTTTTTTTTATCCTATTTAGGTAGGTGGAGAATTTTCAAACGTTGTTATCCCCCAGATGAAGAAGTTTGGAAGAATTGCTGTATGCGGGGCCATCTCCACGTATAACCTCACTCGTCCGCGTCCCCCAGGTAATGAGCCCGTGCACGTGGTCTCAGGTGTAGGGAGACTGGACAAGGAGAAGATTCACACGTATGGCATGAGAGCATTAAAAAGGTTTTAGTGACTGTCAGAATACTTCAAAGACTTCCTGGCATTCTTGATGAAATAGTGTTTATTAGCTTATGTTTTTATGGAGAGAAATAACAGGATCTGAAAATATGGAACAGACACAGACTAAAAGTTTTAGTTTTTACCTACCTCCTGAAAAATTGTAAAAAGACAGCCATGATTTGATTTCGCAACTGCACACCTTGACCTGGCTGGTAAAATATTAGGGCGCTTTAGGACATTCGGGATCTTGCTGGAACTACGAGTCTGAGCAGAAGGTGACTTGAGGTGAGCGACAACCGGGACAGCAGACCGCCCTTTCCTGCAGACAGCAGTGGACGATGCTTTCCCAGGACACCCTGGCCACTCCAAGGGAAAGGAGCGTGCGTTTCCGCCACCCCCACATTCTGTGACTGTCCTTGTTTTGCTTCTCCTGAGCCCCTCCATGCCCTCCACTCTCCCGACTTCTTCACTCCCTTATGCTGAGACCACCCCCTTCCACCTCCATTCCTATAAAGATCTAAAAGCAGTGTCCGCTGAAAAACTGAGTTCATTAGCTCCCTGTCTTGAGACAGACTGTCTAGGCCTCCTGTCTCACAGAACGGGGCAGTGAGTGGCTGTGCAGACCAGAGACTTCAAATCCTATTAGCGACAGACTCAAAACAGAGACAAGTCTTCTGAACAACTCACACAGACTCCTTTTCTGCTACGGTATTCGGTGCTGTTGGCAAGATAACAGATTTACTGTGGTCCAAAGAAGGGGCAAAGAACAAAAAAGAATCTTCCAGATTATTATCAGGATCTAGGCAACCACAAATAGACTGGTTTTTCATTCTGGGGTGGGCTCGACTCATGAATGAAACCTCATGTATGTCCCTGCTAGTTCATAACACGTAATTTACCCCCTCACTCCAGAATGATAGGGGCCAAGGAAGGACAGACAACCCGTAGAGTCCCTCTTGAGCTGTGACAAATCAAAGACACGACCCTCTCCAAGAAGGAAACTCCAGGTTCGCTTGGCAATCTCACTGTTTGGGACCTTTTTCCCTGAGATTGTTCTAATGGAAGCTAAGCTGAAATCATGAGAACTCTGCCCGTCAGCTGGGCAAAGCTCCAGGATACATTTTCCTGACCACAGTTCAGTGAGGTACAGCCCAATATTTTGGAGACAGTAACTTGATCTAGTTTTTTTTTTTGGCAATTAGTCTTTGGAAGTTCAGCTGCTCAGATAGGTCTTTGAGATGTCAGCCGGCCTCTTCCACTTTAAACAGAGAGGATGCTGTCCTGCTTCTGACCTCCAGAAAGTCTAACATACTTCACCGTTGGGATAGCTCAGAGGCGCGTAATTACGCCTCCCAGCTTTAATGCCACGTATTTTTTTGGTTCTCAATAAAGAAACCCACATGCCCATCAGAGTGGACAAGCCCAGAAACAGAATTTCACCTTCTTCCAAGATGAGGAAATGAGGGTTCCACCCCGTTACCCAAAAAAGAAATGTGGGCCTTCTGAGGCTGCACCCTTTCCACAAGACCCCTCTGGAGTTTGGGTGTGCCCTCTCCTGTGTCACTCTTGTGGCTCACTCGTCTTGCATCAGTTTCTTCTAGCTCGGGCCGAAGCCCCGTTCTTCTGACTGATAATGTTACTTTCTTCAAAGCAGCAAGTGGGGACTTGAGGCTTGAGTGATGGCAGTTATCAAAGTTGCTGAAAATAGACTGCCGCTCATCTTGTCCCTTCTGTCCTGACTGAGCCTGGCTTCCTGGCACTTGCTCAGGTGTCATCCCCTCAGTCCCTGGTCACTTGAGAGCCTTGGGAGAAGAAACCGGGCCACCTTGCCACCTTCTCTTTCTCACACAGAGCAGTGCTGCCTCCCAGGCTGCAGGGTCGTCAGTGTTTTTTCTGGGCTGGTGGTCGCAGAGCGTGAGCCCGGGACCAGCAGCATCACCATCTCCTAACCATCTAACCAGGGGAACTTGTTAGAAACACACATTCTTGGGGCCTGCTCCGTAGCACAATCAGAAGTAGGGGGAGGGGCCCAGCACTTCCTTTTGACAAGCCCTGCACAGGATGCTGTTGCACACTCGAGTGTGACACCCGGTGTGCAGGCCAACTCTCCGTATCCTGAAATGGTGAGGACAGCGGTGGGTGTGGGAATTGTGAGCCTCTCGGTGTCTTCTCTCTCATTGGCTCTCGGTCCAGGGGTAGACACTAGCTGTTTTGCATGTCTTCTGAGTACAGAACAGGAGATGGGTTTATGCCATGGAATGACTGCATTAAGCCATTAAGAAGAACATGCTAGGTGTTGGCAATGTGAGGGTGTTCATTCTTGGGCAGTGTAGAAATGTTTTCCTGTTGTCCCCAGGCCCTCTTGCTGTTCCATAGACCTGTTTGGGAAGGACGGCGGGCTTTGCCTCTGGCGAGTCCGGGATGACCGTCCCCGGGCTGTCTGACCTGTGCGAGGACTCCAGTGTGGCTGCTGTAACAAGTCACTGCAGATTTAGCGGCTCGAAACAGCACAGATGTATTGTCTTACAGTTCTGGAGGTCAGACGTCTCCAAGGAGTCAGCATGGTTATGTTCCCTCTGAAGGCTCCAGAAGAGTCTGTTCTTTTTCCTTTTCTAGCTCTAGAGGCCTCCAAAGTCTGCATTTCCCAGCTCGTGGCCCCTTCCTCTGTCTCAGAAGCCAGCAGCATAAGGTCATCAGATCTCTCTGTCCTTCTGATCTCTGCTTCCATCATTGCGTATTTTTGTCCTGGCTCTGGCTCTGCTGCATCCTTCTCTCCATTACAAGGACCCTTGTGATGATATTGGGCCCACGTATCCGCTACAGGATCATCTCCCCACCTCAAGTCCTTAGGTGTATCTGCAAAGTGCCTTTTGCCATGTGAGGTACCATCTTCACAGGTCTGGGCATTAGTTCGTGAACATCTTAGGGGCCATCATTCTGTCCGCCACAGAGGGCATGTTGATGTGTGGGCAGCCCCGTGGGTCAGAAAAGAGTGGAGGAAACGGAAGGGGAGGCAGTAAGAGGACAGCGATGGGACTTGCCTGCTGGTTTTCACCACGGCCACCTCCGGGCCCCACGGGGCCCTATTGCCAAACGTGCCCTCCTCTCCGCAGGCCCACCCCCAGAGGTTGTTATCTATCAGCAGCTCCGCATGGAAGGGTTCATCGTCAGCCGCTGGCAAGGAGAGGTCCGCCAGAAGGCTCTGAAAGACTTGCTGAAGTGGGTCACTGAGGTAAGGGCCTCCAGAGCTCGATTTCAAATTTCCACTGCAAAGACACCCCACGGCTCCCCGTTCTATAGCAAAATACCTGGAAGTGTTGTCTACCCTCTCTTTCCATTCTTTCTGAAGTCCACACCTCAGGCTTTTGCACTGGTCGCTGGGCCTCTTTTCTTCTCTGTCCAGACTCCACCCACCCCTTAGCCAGCGCATCCGGCCTCACGGTTGTGAGTGATGGTGGGCCGGCAGCCCCTGACCGTCTCTCCTGCCTGCACCTTCCCCTGAGCCTGACCGCCCAACACCTCCGCTTGGAGGTGTGTTACACGTCTTCCACTTACCGTGTCGGACATCAAGTGTGTGGTTGGTCTTCCCTGCCAAACCTGCTCCATAGATACACCTTGCCATCTCAGTTAGGGCGGTCCTACCCTTCTAGTTGCTCAACGTGAAAACTTGAAAGTCACCTTTTTTTTTTTTTTAAATTTTATTTAGTTACTTTTCAAGTACATTTTTTTTCCCTCCCCCCCCCCCCCCCCCCGCCCGGTCTCCCCCCTCCCTCCCATTCCCCCCCCACCCCCAGTCCTCATCTCTGTGTCTTTCATACTTGTTCCTCAAAATCCCTCCCCCCTTTTTCCCCTTAAGTTCCCTTCCCTCTCCCCCTCTGGTCGCTGCCCACTTGTTCTCTATTTCAGCGTCTTTGTTTTTATTCTGTTTGCTTGTTTGTTTTATTCTTTAGCTTCCTGTCAAAGGTGAGATCATATGGTATTTGTCCTTCAATGCCTGGCCTATTTCACTCAGCATAATGCTTTCCACTGAAAGTCACCTTTGATTGCTTCCTTTCCCTCATCCCCATGTCTAATCTGTTGGGAAATTCTGGTGGCTCGAGCTTCTAATTACATACAGAATCGGCCCACTCCTCCCGCTCCGTTGCTACCACCCTGGTCCAGGCCACCACTTGTCTAGGATGTTGTGTTTGCCTCCAGCTGGTCCCCACCTTTGTGCTCTTACAGACAATTCCCAGCCCAGCAGCCAGGGCGGTCTTCGAAAGCATAAATCCAACCATGTCATTCTTACGCTCAAAACCCTGCAGAAGTTCCCATTTCACTTAGAATAAAACTTACAAGGCTGCCTGCGACGCATCCCCCATTACCTCTCTCATTTCCTTCCTTAGAATTTACTCACTTTGCTCACTCGCCCAGTCCCTCCCCTCACCTCTCCACCCCTCGTCACTCCTTCATTCTCTCACCTCCTTCATGTCTTTGCTGAAACCTGCCTTCCGAGTGATGCAACTTTTACAATGACCCCATTTCGAACTCTTGATCCTCCTTATCTTTTATCCATAGCAAGTATCACCTTCTAATATCATATATACTACAACCCACTTCTTCATGAATTTATTGCCCATCTCCTGTCCATGAGAATGTAACCTCTATGCGTTCATGCATTTCATTTTCTGATGGATCCTCAGCGTCTAGAATAGTGTCTGAATCAACGTAGGCATTCAGTGAATCTTGTCGAATAGACGAGGGGCACATGTTTGTGAAACTGAATTTCCGAAGGCCATGTCTGAGCTTCCAAAAGCAATGTCTGAGACCCAGAGAAAGAAGCCGGTCCCTTTGCTCTGTGCTGTGATCATTCCCACTGAGCCCATGTTAAGTATTAGTCAGTAGGAATCTGAGTAACCGAGGTGCCTTATTTTAGTTTTTATAGGGGGAAAGTGGTATCACACTTCCTAATTGTGGGCTTTACGATCACTTCTCAATTCAAAGAAAGAGATTGCTCTTCTGGTGACCACAGGAGGTTGGCGTTTTTCCCAGTCTAACAAACAGATTCCTGGGCTGGGCTCTTTCCAGGAAGCCGGGAAGGGTTGAATTATTTTTAAGTTCCCAGCGTGTAGCCTCTCTGTCGCTGTTGGTGAAACCGAATCTAGCACTTCCATGGCCACAGCTGACAACAAGACCTCCCCATGCTGGTGTCCCTAATGTGTCCCTCTAACAAAGTGAGACTAATTATAGTTTTGTTTTGAGTAGTGAATTGGCCTCATCCACTTATTTTTTCTCATCTCTTACCTTCTACAAATATACTTTTTACTTTAGAATAGTTTTAGATTTACAGAAAAAGTACAAAGTACAGACAGTTCCCCATATGTACCCCATATTCTGTACCCTAAGATCCCATATTTTTAACATTTAATATTGGTATTCATCCTCTACTTTTAACCCTTAAACTGGATTATAGCTTTCAACCCTTTCCAGGTTCTTTGCCTTTTTAAGAGCAGGAATAAATTTGGATTTTTTAGTCAAGGGTTCAAATACCGGCTTCCCTACTGACTAGCTGAGCAACCTCAAGAAAATGGTCCCTCCGGAAGTCCATGAAGGGTGCTAAACCATCACTGGAATGCATTAGCGGAAAAATGGCATTGGTAACTCAGGTCTCCATATAAGACCCCTTTGAAGAGACTCACAAATGTGAATAGTTTCACTCAGTAGACTGTACCTCGGAGTAGAAAGAGAATGAAGAACCTTCCTTACTATATGAAACCTTCCCTCCCAAACTCCAAAATGAATATTAAACACACATTAAAAGAATTGTAGCTTGAAGGGAAGACCGATTAGGAAGGTGCCATGGTATTTAAACTTCCTGAACAAGGCTCCGCCTCCGCAGGGGTCAGATAAGGGGTCAGATGAAGCTACGTCCCAGGAAGAATGAACACAGATGACTCCCTAAGGGGTCACTCCTTTCTCCTCTTCTGAGTTCACGACATTATTAAATTTTCCATGTAATTTACTTAGGAATTACTTGATCGCTTCCTTGACACATTTCTCCCATCGTTATGCTGTGATCTGACAGCATTATTAAATTCTTATGTGTCCTTTGTCATCTATTACATGCACTGTGTATGTGCTCATGCCCCCAAATGACCCTAAGGTCACAGGGTCTCCAGCTGACAGTTCCAGATTCCCTGTATTGTAACTGATACATTCTTTGCTGCAATGAGAAGAGTATATTGTTTAGAATGTGATACTGATACTATGTTTTTTGTTGTTTCGGTACAGGGTAAAGTCCAGTACAATGAACACGTCACTGAAGGGTTTGATAACATGCCAGCTGCATTTATGGGAATGCTGAAAGGAGATAATTTGGGGAAAGCGATAGTGAAAGCATGAAAAAAATGACACATAGAATTTAGAAATCACTTTCATGATTACTTAATTTCTTTTGAACCATTTAGTAAAAATGTATACTGCCTTTGTTTGACAAGAATAGTGGTTGTAATGAGTTTGAACCATCTAATAAAGTACATTTCAATAATAAGTAATTAGCAATAGAGAATGAATATCTCTTTGTGAACAGCAGCCAGTCACCTCACTGCCTCCTACAGCTCCTTCTGGGATATGGTAGAAAAGAGTGACTTTGGAGTCCAAAAATCTAGTGCCTCTGTGACCTTGAACTTCTGATCTTTTTTCATCTGTAAAGTAAGAATAGTACCCTGTACTTCACACACGTATTACACATTTATTTAAAACACCAGCATAATGCCTGACATATGTGTGTATCAGGTGCCCATAACTGTTAGCCACATCCCTGCAGAAATGAAAATCCTAGAATAACCCCCATGCGGCTTATATTACACAAGAAAGACTCACTGCTGATGTACAGGGCTCTCTGTGTGAGTCTCATAACAGGACAGACTGAGGAAGGGAATCTATCGTTCACAACAGCTACAAAGAAGACAACACGGGAATATACATAAAACCTACAGAAATGTGTGAGATTTATATGAAGAAAGCTTTTAGACATCACTGAGGAATACAAAAGACTTCAACATGGAAAGGGACCATGCTCTTGGGCATAACGATGGCAATTCTGTTGATGACTGCTGGCCCAAGTAGAGAAGGGGGTTAAATTACAGTGAAAAAGTGGGAGAGGAAAGTGTGTGCGTGTCTGTGCGTAAAACCTCTGCAAAGGTGTAACAAACTACTGCTGATGTGGTTTGTCTCCACTGTTATTACAAGTAACAGTTAAAAAGTTAAAGTTCCTGCCCTTTTGTGCCCCCCCCTCCCCATAGGGGGAAAATAAAACATGCATGAGACACACCTCAGGGAAGGGTGGGGGCGCCCCTGAGGTCGAACACCCCTGGGGTTCTTAGCTCTCCAGCTGGTCCTCCCTGAGCCTCCAGCCACTCACTGCTGCAGTTTCCGCTTCCCTAACCTGGAGCAGGTTCAGATGGAGGCTTCCGCTCTTGGGCTTCTACCCCTGTATCCAGTGACTCTGTGTATCTGACTGTCTGATGCGCCAACTTTACGGGCAGCCTTTTGCTCTGTGACCTCAGTTCTCGCTCGATCTATTGTAAAAAGAGTTGGTGATATTTTAGTTAATTTTTTTTCTTGTTAGGACAGAGTATTGACTGCCAGTGCCATGCATGCCAGACCAGAAGAGCATGTATTTTTAATTTTGATAATATTTACCCTTTTTTTCCCCCTGATGGTTTGTGCTTTCAAGTTTCCTGCTGAAGAAATCATTGCCTAGCTCGAGGTCATAAAATTTTTCACCCATATTTTATTCTGTAAATTTTACATCTTAAATTTTGTTAGCTCTGTGATAAACCAGGGAATAGGAGATTGGGAGTGACTGTAAAAGGGTGAGAATTTTGGGGGTGATTTCAGTATTTTGGGGGGTAAGGATTACATATGGTGGGCAATCGTCAAGACTCATAAAATGGTACCTTTAAATGTGTGCATCTCATTGTTTGTAAATTATATCTCAATAAGTTAATTTAAAAATATGTCCAGGACAGAATGTTGGCCACAGATGAGAGCTCGCTGGCTACCAGATTGCAAGGGACTGGCCAATTGCTGGCTTACTCGGAAGGAGGAACACATTCAAGGAATAGTCGAGGGAGGCCGAAGTGTGTGAGATCCACAAGCACAAGGTTCGTACTTCGTGGGACAGCCTCCCACGTGGGCAGTAACGTATTTTTCAATGTAAGAGGAGCACAGGTCTTCATGTTTCCTCCCTTCCCACCTACCTCTCTTTCTGGAACTTACTGTGGTCCCAGTAGTAAGATAGGCATCCATCTTTATTTTTGCCAAGTTATGAGCAGTTTTTCCCACACCACTTTTGGGATAATCCATTCCCCCCCACTCCCTTGATTTCAAATATGTCTTTAATATGTGTTCTATTCAGAGATACTTGGTTCCATATCTAGACTTACCTGGTCAACTGATCTTTGTTTTGTTATTCTGCCACTAACGTAAATAGGATTTTTTGCTACTATATTTTTGACTGGTTATTGTTGGAATTTTGGAATGGTCTCAAGTACACCTGACAATCTATGCACAATTAATTTTTGGAATGAAGTATTAAGACAGTGCTGTTGTTAATACAGTAGTATCCTGCCTATGATGGAATATTGCTCAGCCTTAAAAAAGGAAGTCCTGTCATTTGTGACCATATGGCTGAGCCTCAAAGGCATTATGCTAAGTGAAATAAGCCGGACAGAGGGACAAGTACTGCATGGTATCACTTACATGTGGAATCTATAGAAACAGAGTAGAAAAGTGGTGGCCAGGGCTTGAGGGTGGGAGAGGTTAGTACAGGGCCCATTCAGCTACATGATGAATGAGGTCCGAGGATCTAACGTATAACATGGTAAATACAGTTGGTATCACTTTGTCATATACAGTCTGCTGAGAGCAAATGTGTGAGTTGATGAATGTGTGAACCTGGTAGGGGGAACCATTTCACAATGTGTATGTGTATACATAAAATCATGTATACTTTAAATATCTTTAAAAATGTCCATTATACCTCAGGAAAGCTGAAAAAGAGGTAAATTTTATATGGGAACAATAGCTCAATAAAGTTGATAGAAAAAACTGAGACACATCAACCCCACACGGTATGAAGATACACATTGTTTAGAGGAATCTTTATGGACTTCGCCCAGGAGGAAACGGCACAACTGCCTTCTAACGGGCACTGATGAAATCCAGCAAGATCTGGGAGGTGTAGGTACTCTGGAAGAGCTGGGGTGGGGGGGATCAGGGGCTGGAAAGAAAGACTGTACTTGACAATACGTATAAAGATCAGGTCAAGTCCAAATGCCATCCTACCTGGCCTGGTCAGGTGCTTATCCACCCCTCCCTAACCCCAACAGGAAATGAAGGCTGAAAGGCTTTTTACCTGGGTCCCATGGCCCTGGAGGAGGGTGGAAATGAGATGTGAGGCGGAACACAGATTAAGGGGAAGTGTGGAAGAAGGGGTCGCAGCTTTCTGCCTCCCCCACCATGGCCAGGTTTGCAGCCTCTGCGGACCAGATCCTTCTAGAGAAACTGCACTGCTCCCAGAGTGACTTCTGACAGTCACCGACATTCAGTCCCAAAGGCAAACACTAAGTGAACACCCAATCCCCCTTCTGGGAAGCCCACAAAATGACCTGCAGCTCCCACATACTCAAGCCTCTAACACAGAGACCGTGGACTTTTGAGTTGGGAACACTAACCAAGTCAGACTTTGGAATGACACCCCCTTGGGGGTAGCAAGTATGCTGTACATGTGGGATGAAGGAAAGCATGTGATCGGAAAGGCAGGCCAAGCCAGGAGCAATCTGTCTTCTCACCACGGGGGAGCATTGCACTGAGGGTCAAACGGGCACGGTGACTGATTTCTGGCTAATGGGAGAGAGTAGCTGGTTTCTAAGTCAGCAGTCCCCAAACTTTCTTGGTTATAGCGTCCTCAGTCCCACAATCATTTCTTCACCAGGCTCCTGGGCCAAAAGAAATACCTGACAGTTCTATTGCCAAATACGTCCAAACAATGTAATAGCAGTTGGTGCCACATCCAGTAATTATGTACGTTTCCCTAAAATTTTAAAAACCCTGGGGAGCCCCTGTGAGTTTGTTACAGTGCCCTGGGACAATCTACCACCCAGTAGGGACCTGTGGTTCCAAGCTATTTCCAGGCCAACGTTTTAAAACATTATATGATGCTCCAGTTCTTGCTTTCCCTGCCTCTGGGGGCGTGGAGGTGATGTGTCCCAGGTGGCACAGTGACAAATGTTGGAAAGCATAAGTGCTGGATGGCTGCCGGGGAAATGAACTTTTACTGAATTAAAGCCACTTTGATTTGGGGCACTCTCTGTAGCTGGCACTGCTTACCCCAACTCCGGAGTGTCCCATATGGTAGTCATTTAAGGCTATTGAGAACGGGAAAGGATTTTTTAAAAAATGAAGCACAGTAAATATTTCTTCGTGAAACACAACTTTATTGTTCTGGTAGAACTACAATTCACTTCAACTGTTGTTATCGCATTGGGCGTTGCTGTTGCAATACTTGTACAGGAACGTGCACTATTTCTAGTACGACGGACAAACACTTCACCAATCTCGTCAGCACCCACAAACCGATTCAGTTCCGAGGACTGTTTTTGATGCACTGAAGTCACATCGCAGCGTGTTTACTTGGGTATTTTACGTACACGGCACAAGTTAAAGTACGCCTGTGCGGATGGCACAAGTCACAGCAAATACCGATAGAAATCATAGGTCGAGATCCTTACTACTTTAATTATAATATAAACTATCTTCAGGTTAAAAATACAGACAAATATTTAAATTTGCAGTGAAGGCATATGACTGAGGCAGAATTCAGTGCAATGCAGAAGCTAGTACTGTGACTAGTATAGCGAGGAGAAAGCGGCAGAGCACAGGGCGCACCCGACAGGGAGGGCCCACTGTGGTTACTGCAGGCACAGCAAAATGGAAAAGCCACTCGCGTACACCAGAGTGTCAACGACACCACACTGGACAATGTTTAAGACAACACCTAATATTTAGTCATTTTTCGTCAACGATCTAGTGAATTCAATAAGTCTTCTCCTAATAGTAAAAAAAAAAAAAAAAAAATCCAAGAAATCGGTCATATGAGATGAGAACCAAATTTCCAACAAAATATTTAAACATTTTAGCAGGATTTGAGCTTGTAAAGTTGGCCAGCTATAAAGTAGTTTGAATTCTCATATACAGGCAAGCAGAATCTTAGATGGAGAAATGACAAAAACAAATTATTTTAGTTATAAACTTATAAGGAAAAGACTTAAAAAGATATTTACAAAAATTGAAAATTTCAGTGAATCCTCTTAATTTTGTGCGTAGAATATAGAAATTTTCTAATAATATCACAGATCGATTGATTCAAAATTTGAAAAATTACAAGTATTTAGCTTCAGCTTTGGGTGAGCTGTGTAACGTAAGACACAGCCCAATGAAAACTTTGGGTATATTGTTTCAAAGAACATCCAAATTTACAAAGAAATGTCAATTCACTGCTTTTGTCAATTTCCATCTGTCAAAGAATTTCAGCTCTGAGACAGAAAGATTTGTTTCCATGGCAAGAATGGAATCTAGCTGTGTAAAGTCAAAAGACCAGACGTGCTGAAATTTTAAAGCAAGAGAATGATGTTCTCCTCGTTGCTTTGTTTCACTGTCTGATACTGAAAATATTTGTGCTCAGTTTTCCGAAGCAGACTCCAAACACAGAGTCATGGATAGATGGTGCAGTTCTTCAGTCGACAGGTGGAACTGCTATAAAAGAGTAATTGCCAGTGTATGAAACTGTTGAAGATGTTCTGAAGTTGAGTCCTGAAAGTTTACAATGGTTTCTTATGCTAGGAATTCCGACTTACAATGTTCTTGAAACAAAACCAAGAAATGATTGCCAAATACTCAACAATCAAAACCAAATAGGGGCAGTGTGATTCACGTTTCTCCCTGACATCACACTGCATATGAATGAGCTAATTCATAATTTGAAGCTTCTTGGAATGGGGAAAACCTGTGACCTACTTGCATAAAAAAAAACTAAAACAAAACAAAAAACCCAAATGTGAAGAATGGTTTGCTGATATTGATAAATGTAGTTTTGTTTTCATTCACACAAACTTGCCAAATTTGATTTAATACTGAATTGACAAAGTTGGCGAATTTACTTATAGCTTTGAAATATGGTTTTGCTTCAAAGTAAATTCAATTCTTCTAGTGAAAAGATGAACCGTTTTGTCAATGGAGATGTCATTTTAGAGGGAAATCATTTTTTGATGCTTGACCCAGTTATTGGAAAACTTTATATACATTCAGACTAACAATCAAGTATGCTTAGAAGAAGTATATCAATCTACTTTTCAACTTTTAAGTTTTCTAAATCTACATATAGATCGAGTATTTCAAATGAAAACTTTGTGTGTGAATCAAGGTGTGCTGTGTTGATAAAATGCTGGGTTTTGGACAGTGCAAAACACGCTATAAGATACCTCAGCAATAACTTTTTACTGATTACACATTGAAATAATATTATGGCTATACTGGGTGAAATAAAATACATCATTAACTTTGCCTGTTTTTACTTTTTAAAAGTAGCAACTAGCAAATCTGAAGTTACACACGTGGCTCATGTTACATTCCTGTTGGACTGTGCTCCAGTAACTGAAACTCCTCCCAACCAGCTTTTCAGAGCCGTCTTCTTAAACATGAATAGACAAGGGTTTGCAGAAGTTTGAGGGAAGGCTCTCATGTGAAAGTTAGAATACAAGTAAAAACGACTCGGAGGAAAGACAGGGAATGCAGGGAACAGAATAGCATTGAAAGATGCCATAGTAGCACCCTCAAAGAAAAGAAAATTCTACCCATGAAACCAAACCATACTATTATTCAAAAAGGAACAATCAGAGGACCAGAAAATGAATCTGGAAATCTAAGCATAACAACAGAAATAAAACATTTAGAACATTCAGTAATAAAGTTGGAAAATAAGGTTGAAGGTATCTCTTCCAGAAAGGACAGAAATCAGTGTTGGCAAAGATGGCAGAGTAGGAAGTACCAGGAATCCATCTCTCCCCCTAGACAACTGTACTGGCAGAAAGTACTTAAAGTGATTCTTTTGAAACATGGGAGTCTATTTTAGAATAGACTGTCTGATCCTGAAATGTGTAGCTCCCAGAGGGTAACCTTGACTGGTAAGCTACAATTCATGGTGGCGAGTTTCAGCCTTTAGGACAGAGGCAGCCACCCATCGCCCACCTGCCAGACCTGTAGCAGGAGGCTCTGGAGGTGGAACCCACATTTCCAGTTCCACTTGCTGGAGCCAAA